TTGCACTTTTCCAGAAACAACCCTGGCATCCAATAGTGATACCAATCCACCTGCACATTCTCAGAAAGGCCAGAAGTGAAGAGTGCTCCTTGAGAGCTCCCAATTTTTTTGTTAGAGAACAGACTGAGACACAAGGGACCAGAATGAAGGTCAGTTGCAAGGTTTGCTTTTCGCACTCCGATGCTCTGGTTTACAGACTGGTTCTCTTTGCTTTGTGTTTATTATTGCTTAACCTGCTCTGACAGGAGACCCTTAAGCTCTTTGTAGAGAATACTTAATGGCTATCCAGTTTCAATTCAGTGGTTCCCTCTGCAGCCCTTACTGAAAGAAGCATTTGTTAAATTCATTTATAGCACTAAAAAGTGAATTGCAGCAGGCATGACTACACCTCCAACAGCTACAGAGCACTAGGGAGCTACACCACTGACTCATAAACTGTCATGACAGATTTTGTTGCTGAATTCCTTCCTTCATGAAGCAATATATGAACTTAATGTGGACCAGAGCTTTGACCTGCCAAAACAACCCAGCCGACACAGAACTGAAATCCTTAACTACCTTCATTCCTCACAGCCCAAAGGAGAAGGACCTTACGAACAAATCCACCAAAATTTGTGAAAACACTAATATGCAACAGATAGCTTAGCAGTGACATTTATGGGCCTTATCTAACAAGTGAAGAAGAAGGTAACAATTTATAGATTTAATTAAATTATGTCCCATCTATTCTTGATGGCCATAGAACAATTCTGGAATTTTGGACTGAGTGACTTTGTCCTTAAAAAGAAATATGCAGCCTTTGCTGCCTAGAAAGCCTGAATTAGCATGACCTGTGGCTTTTGGGTCAATGGCTAGCTAAGAGCTAAAGTGAGGTAGGTCTCAACTGTTATCCTTCCACAAGGATCATACTCATTTGAAGAACCTTTTAAGTCATTACTGGTTAACACTACAATACCTACTAAAATGTTGCTTGCCAAAGAGTTTTTTGTTTGGGATTTTTGTGGGTTTTGTTTTTTTGTTTATTTTGTGGGGTTTTTTGCAAGACTCATTTTGCTTTCGGAAAGGAAAATGTTTCCAACTCTCATTTTTATCATAAACCACAGTAAGCATGCACAATGCACCATGCAGCCAAGACTTTCAAGGTGCTTCACAATAACTGTTGCTTTAAAACAAAAACAAATCCTTAAAGATTGATAATAGGATTGAAACTATGGGATTGTTGCTCTTTCCAAATACAGGGCAATGCTGCATAATAGGGGCAAAATTAGTAAAGTTATGATAAATCAGTTGAATGCATGAAGTTAACAGGCACGGCATTCACTATTATTGTGAATACCTTCATCCAGGAATAAAGGAGCTCCTACCTTTTCCGATTAGCCCTGAGTGGAGGAGAATGTAGGCAGTACCAGAAAGTGCTGTGGGACACAGCGATTACTAGATGTGTGAGGTGAGATATGAGAGGACAAAGCCTTACATTAAGAGCACAGGCACTGCAGAGCAACTTTCTCCTATGTCCCCACACTGTCTGCTCCTGTGCATATGAGGACATAGCCACACATGGGAATATGCCAAAAATATGGGATAGTCTCAGATCATGAGCCAACCTACAGCATTCAAGTGCCAAGCATTTTTCTCCTGAGGTGCCTGCCCTTCTGGCCACTTGTATCCAGCTCCCACTTTGTGCTTCCTGAATGATAAAAAGGACTTTGTCCAGGAAGCTGTGGATACAGACTCTAACGCTGCAGTGATAAGCAGCAGTGCAAGAACCCCAGGAGAGCAGACAGGCAGATAGTTGCTTCACATTTTGAACCATCACTATGAAAAGATTTTCGTTCCTAGCAACACTAACCAAAATCAAGTATCAGCAGGAGGAGGGGTGGGTAGATGCTAGGGTATGGCTAGCATGATGCTCTAATTAACTGCAAGATTAGTACTGATTTCCTAAGTCCTCATGAAATTAGCTATGGAATTTATAAACAAAGAATAAATCTTCCACCTATTAACTGCCCATTATGCAGAATACCTAAAGCTGGTGAACTCTTTAATAGTACTGAGGACATAAATGGAAGGAGCTTTAATATACTGCGTATGGCACTATGAAGAAAAATAAAATTCAATTAACTTCCCCATTTATTGTTATGAAAGGATTCAATTTGTGATCTAAGCACCATGATTAACCCACTCAAATCCCAAACAAAACAGCCTCAAGACAGATCATTAAGGCAGATGTGAATGCCAGGAAAACTCATTCTGAGTCTGACATACCTCAGGGGACTGGGAAGATTAGACATTGGGCTATAAATGTTTAATGTAGCAAATAAAGGATCCTCACTACTGAAGTTGTTATAAGAATGTCATTTTCCTGAGGGGTTTCCATTGATATTAGAAATGTGAAGGACCAAGTAAATTCTTGGGAGGGAATTCTAAAATATTCAGACATTTATATTAAGAGGTTTGGCTTTCCCGGTATGGGTCTAATAGAACAGAGTTTGTACAAAAGGATTTTCTTACTACACAAATCTAAGCAATCTGTCTCTTCAGATCCCTTTTGTTTATTATACTGACAAAACCTAAGCCTCCTTAGGTTCATAGGTTGCTATTTTTCTGTGTGTTAGTGGTCCATTTTTAAAATGATCATGTGTTAGGAGGCAAAACACAGTGCAGGTTATCAGACTAAAGCAGGCCACATTTGAGAAGGTGGTCATCCTCTCCAGGCTCTCAGTGACTTCTCCAATACCCTGCCACTAAAAGGAAGAAGCTGTCCAAGTCAAATGGAGAGAGAACTTGTCCGAAACACCACTAAAAAAGGAAAAGGTTATGGAAAGAAACCTATGAAGACCTGGGAATTGAAACTGGCAGGGAATGGCTATTGAGACGAGGTGAAAGAAGAGGTCTGGTCAAAAAATGAACAAGGATTTAGGATTAAGAAAAATAACAGGAACCTGAGCTGTGAGATCTGCAGAAACAGACTAAGTCAAGCAGGAAGGATGTGTGTGGGATGGAATAGCCAAAGGGGACAACCAGGACTGAAAAGGTGAAAGAAAATAAAATCAGAAAATCTATTAAAAAAGGAAACAGGAGAAGTAGAATATGCACAGAAAAATCTCACAGAAAAGTCTATACCAGAAAGACAAACTATAGCACGACTTCCTGGAAAGTCTGAAATGGAACTTAATATTCTTGTGTTTCCCCACTCCTCTAGGGTAAATATATATTTATATCTATTTGGAATACTGTCCATCTCTTCTAGTTTAAAGGAGATGGCAGACTTATAGGTGACAGTCTCCTCACTAGCTCAAAAGGCACATGACTGTGTTGAATATAGATATGGCCCATGTAGTGTCAAGAGAGGGTAGATTTAGATTAGATATACTGTAAAAATTCTCCACTAAGAGTTTCATGAATCACTGGAACCGGTTGCCCAGAGAAGTTATGGATGTCCCATTCCCAGAAGTGTTCAAGGTCGGGGGCTTTGAGCAACCTGGTCTAGCGGGAGGTGTCCCTAGACACCTAGACCCTAGGACTAGATGATC